CCTGGCCGGGTGACCAGGGTCCTTTCTGTGTGGAGTTTGCATGTTCTCCCCGTGTCTGCGTGGGTTTCCTCCCACAGTCCAAAAACATGCAGTCAGGCTGATTGGACATGCTAAATTGCCCCCTAGGTGTGAATGTGTATGTCTGTCTGTCTGCCCTGTGATGGACTGGCGACCTGTCCAGGGTGTATCCTGCCTTCCGCCCAATGACAGCTGGGATAGGCTCCAGCACCCCACCGCGACCCAGAAGGATAAGCGGTTTAGATGATGTATGTATGTTTCTATTCTTTACATTTCATCCACCATGCAGCTAAAAAATGTGGAAATGCAGCAAAATGCATTAAACTTTATTTAGAATTAAGAATTACTTAACCAATTTGCATTGTAATGCATGTTCTTAGTGAATAATAAGCCTTCGGATCTAACAAGCCTCAGATTTTAAAGAGTTAAAGGAATCAAAAGAGACTAACATGCTTGCATAAGTTTGTATAAGGATGTTTATAACTTTCTACAATTACTTTTTAACAGCAAGGCTGTCATGGACTCTACAAGGTAGCCACGCCTCTAAATGTCACACCATGACTTTGCCTGTCTACAGTGGTTATCTAGGAAAGTTTTCCAGTATTTTCACTGTTAAAAACACATTATTCTAAATGCAAGACAGTATGAAGACAGACCATTGTGGCTTGTTCTATAGATTAATGACTAAAGACGTTGCCTCATGTCTTGCACAAACATCGATGACTCTGTAGTCAAAAAGCCATTATGTTGCGTAATTTGCTTTAACGCAACTGTTCCTTTGAACAGAACTACATCAGATGCTTTGTTCCCACTGTACCTTATGCGTTTAGGTGTTTCGTTTGCTTTTTTTGCTTTGCAAACATTGTTTACTGCTCAACCTGAGTTAGAAAAAATCACAAAATGAGTTTTAATTCTACTAAACCCTTTTCGTTTTCAGTTTTGAGACTAAAGTTACTAACTTTTACTAACTGACAGTAAATATGTATTCACTTAGTTATCCATAAAATAAAACATCGGCTCATCCTGTAAGGCACATAATATTTTACTTCACGCCCGAAGATCTGCAAATATTGACCCACAGACTATGATGTAAAAGGTCTGCATGGCAAATGTGTCACGTAAGTATATGAAGCCTGGGTTTCAGGAAGTAGACTGAAAAGCCACTTTCTGGAAAGGATCAGGGAGGCTACATCAGAACACGCGCTAAGACACGTTTTGCGGTTACGTAAAAATAAAATAATTCTAAATAATTCTAAAAGCTGTTAACACAGTAATTCAATTCTGATGTGGCATTCTCAAACGTTGAGGCATGACAGCTAATAAATTAGTACCTTTTCTCCTGGAATTCCTCTTCCTGGTGTACCATCAGAGCCTCTTGACCCTGGTAACCCCATCTCACCCTGATGTTTTTGGTATGTCCAGGTAGCCCAAGAGGAAGAACAGAAACAGAAGCAGTTATGAAAACCGCATAAGAACTTAGATTAGTCATACATAAGCTTAATTCAGAAAGGCCTTCTTTTGCCTGTAAAACAACTTTAAAACAGTATTCAAGCTAAAGGTATGTCCAAAAATATCCAGACAGACCCTCCAAATAGTAAACTCTAAAACTTTAAAGGGACACTCCAAACAGGTTTACTCGCAACCTGCAGCAGTGACCTCCAGAGTGAGGTTGTCCAGTTTAAAGACTACACTGTTAATTATTGACAGGATTTTACAGCATCAAACACAAACTCTTAATAGTAAAATACTGTATTCAGCATTTTATTCAATCAAATCATCCTAAGAATTTTAGGAAATCAACTTATATTAAGATATTTTCTTTAATAACACAGCAAATTACTGTGAAATTGACATAGAGCAATACCGCACAGCATTATGGGAGACAACTGAGAGTCGTATAACGGAAACATTTTTATAAACTGAAATAAAAAATAAAATCATGAAAAAAATGATTTTGGTTAAATTGTGTAAAATGTGTACTTGCATTTAAAGGTGCACAACTCCAATTCCAAAAAAGTTGGGATGCTGTTTAAAATGTCAATAAATATAAATAAAAACTGAATACAATGATTTGCAAATCTCATAGACCCATATTTTATTCACAGTACAGTATTTTAATTTGCAATATTTACAGAACTTGATGGCAGCAACGAACGCATACCAAAAAAGTTGGGACGGGGCAACAGAAGGCTGGAAAAGTAAGTGGTACTAACTAAAAACAGCTGGAGGAGCAATTTGCAACTAACTCACATGACTGGGTGTGAAAAGATCATTTTATAGAGGCAGAGTCTCTCAGAAGCAAAGATGGGCAGAGGTTCACCAATCTGTGAAAAACTGCATCTAAAAATTGTGGAACAATTTCAGAAAAATGTTCCTCAACATAAAATTACAAAGACTTTGAATATCCCACCATCTACAGTACATAATATCATCACACGATTCAGAGAATCTGGAGAAATCCCTGCACGCAAGGAACAAGGCCGACGGTCAGTATTGGATGCTCGTCATCTTCGGCCCTCAGGCAGCACTGTATTAAAAACAGGCATGATTCTGTGTTGGAAATCACTGCATGGGCTCAGGAACACTTCCAGAAACCACTGTCTGTGCAAGTTAAAGCTGCATCATGCAAAGGAGAAGCCATACATACCTGGAAGGTTAAATATTCATATGTATACCCCTATAGATCTTACGACTACTGAATTTCTAGCTCTTTTGATCTTGTCCAGTATTTCTTTGGTCCCACATACGGCCAAACCTACACTTGGTCACTTCACAAGCTTTACACAGCAAAGTCATACAAATAGTAAAAGTTGTAATTACTGGCCTCCATTTTGTCTTCCTTGAAATAGCAATCTGACCAAACACAAAGAGCGATAAGATTACTATTACCAAGTGCTGTCGTTCTGCTGATAACTAACTTCACACCCTCTTTCTATAATATTCTAGCTGACATTCAGTTAATGTATTAATACTACTGCCCTGATAAATAAGAGTCAAAGCCAAAACCCCTTTGAGGGACACAGCTAACAGTCTAAAACCACAAGGGGACTGCAGACGAGCTGAAAGGCAACAGAGACACATAAACGGCCCATCATGCTCTTTACAAAAACAGAAAAAAAAAATAGTGAAATAAAGCCAGCTAGAAAAACACACTTGCGTAATTGATCTAAACATGACTGGCAGTCGAAAATTCCTCCTTTTACTCTGAACAGACAGACTAACTCCTCCTCCGACATCTGGACTTTATTCAGTTAACAGATGCAAGAAGTTTGCTGATTTTCTTTTTGGACAGATAAGAAAAACCACAACAGAAAAACATAGTGAGCGTTCACCTTCTTAGCTTACTGAACCATCACACAGGGGTGCAAAAAGTCCACTTTTTCAGCTATTAATCTTAAGAAACATATCACTTTTTAAAGATGCTCTGTCTCGTCTCTTTACTCTTTATCAAACCAATTTAAAATTAAAGTATCTGGTGATGTCCTGACTACTGTCAATCAATCACGACAACACAGAACATGCAAATCTGCTCAAAACATTTTTTTTTTAAATCTACTGAAAAGTGCCCCAAGGCTCAAGCGTAGGGCCTTCATTATTTAACCCCCATATGTTGGCTGGAGTAGCTTATAAACATCACATTTGCTTTTATGAGTATGCACGTGAGAGGGCAGTGCCTACCTTTGGTCCCACAACTCCATCCTCTCCTGGGATGCCAGGAATACCAGGGGCACCATCTGGTCCTGGCTCACCCTGAAAGACATAACATTCACATGTGTTTACAAGAAAAATGTTACATTCCTACATCTTGATATTGCTCTGTGAACTGAAATATGTAGTTTATTTTATAGTAAAAGTCTTTGCAGTAAAAAGTGAGGACTGTTAGCCACAGTAAACACTTAAGACAGCATATTTATGTGCTGTCATCCCGGAAAACTCATAACATTCACAAGTGTTTCAGCTATAAATCTTTGCAAACATATCTATGTACACCATGTACTCTATGTTAAAGGTTGTGCCATGTGCCCGTCCCCTGGGCCCCAGTGATGGCTGTGAGAGCTGGTGGGAAGGTGGGGCCCGAACTCCGAGCACAGATGAGCACCTGCGATAACAGCGGGGAGAGGATGATAACAGCGAGGGATTGGTGGACGGTGCACGTGTCCCAAACCCCGCCTCCTGGGCACCACCTGCTATTCTGCAGTGAGGTTGCTAGACTATGCCTCTCGGCTCAGGAAAGCGCCTTGAAAAAGGAGCCGAGAGGGAATAGAGAGAGAGAGGAGAGGGTCGAGCAGCAGCAGCAAAAGACTGACAAGCTGAACAGTTCAACTTTGAGAAAAGGACTGAAGAGACTAGTAGCCATGGAGAGGTGGCTGGTGTTTGGTTTGTTTGTATTTTGTGTGAGTGGAAATAAAAATATGCTTGCTGCAGATGTTTCTCCTGCATCCAGCATCCTTCTTGCACCCGGAGGTAGCACATGCTGCAATGGTGCCGAAACCCAGGAACAGGATGCAGACATGCTGAGGGAGTGTCCATGGCAGAGGTAGAAGCCATCTGGGCACTAGTCCACCTGCACCTGGCTGGCTGGCGAGAGCTGCAGGCTGTTCTCCACCACACTAACACGCAGTGGAACCTTGAGGAACAGCAAGTGGTGAAGCCAAAGGTGCTCAGAAGCCTGCTGGCAGAGCGGTATTCCTCGATGTGCCTCTCTAATCCCCACTCGTGCCTCCAGCCCCTGCTCAAAAAGGCTCGGAGTTCCCTCTCTCTTCTCATCCTCGGATGCATGTGGGGCCTCAGTGAGGATGTCAATGAGGATGTCAATGAGGACCCGCCTGCATCTGAGAATGTCGATGAGGACCCGTCTGCGTCTGAAGATATCACTGAGGCCCCGCCTGCATCTGAGGATGTCACTGAGGCCCTGGATGTATCCGAGGATGTCAATGAGGTCCCGTCTGCATCTGAAGACGTCAATGAGGCCCTGGCTGCATCCGAGGATGTCAAAGAGGCCCCGCCTGCATCCGAGGATGTCAGTGCGGCCCATCCTGTGTATGTCTTCCCCCCTTTTTTTGTAGTCTTTACCTTTGGACCAGATTCTCCAATCCCTCTTTCTCCTGGTGGTCCCTGTTCACCCGGAAAGCCTTGATCCCCCTGAAAAGCAATAATTAACATTTAATCACATTTTCTTGTATTACTTTCTTTTATTTCACATTTACTTTATTTTCAGAACTCTTTATGCCAACTGGCATTTTCTCACACATCTGTAGCACTTGCCTTTGGCCCAACTACACCCCCACCAGGAGTTCCTCTGGGGCCTGGTGGCCCAATTGGTCCTTGGTCACCCTGGGTTAAAGATATCAAAGGGTAAATACATAAACTATGTAAATGGTCTTATAAAAACAATGGGCCCTGTCTGAGACTTTAATAGGCACATTAACTGTATTGAAAACACCAGAATCTAAAAATGTACTGCAGAAAAGAACGAGGTAAAGTTATAAATTGCCTTTTCTCCCTGGAGCCCAGCTCCAGGAAATCCCACTGGGCCTGGCAATCCTTGAGCTCCTGTGTTCCCCTACAGGACAGAAGAGAATTTAGAAAGTTCCTTCACGTTATTCTTACAAATTTTGATGGTGATATTGATGATGTTCCCAGGCAGTCAGCTTCTACAGTTAGCCAGAACACAACCGGAAATAGACCACAAACATTCCTCCAACAGATGGAACAAACCTACGGTACTGTTCAAAAGTCCAACCTTAACTTATTTAATTACCAGCAAAAAGTTGTTTGATAACAGGACAGTTACACAATAACTTTCCATCAAATGTTTCGGTTTTTAATGAGTCCGTCGTTTGCCTTTATTGCAGCTTCCATTGTTTTCAGAAGACTCACTTTCAGTTTCTCAAAGAAATCTGCAGGGATGTTTTTCCACACCTCCAAAGTTCAGTTCTTAAGCCCATTTCACACCAGACGCGGTAACCGTGCCACATGCCGCGCCGGGCAGTGGTGCACGCAATACGCTCCTATATTAATCAGTGTAGTCTTTCACACCGGCCGCGTGCGTCACACGATAACACACATGTGAAGCGCAAAAATATCACACGTCCCTCAGGCTCAGAGGCCTCTAGGGACTCCAATTCCCAGAATCCCCAGGGGGATCACATGGTTCTCAGTCCTTCATCTTGCTCCAATCACCGCTCTCTGTCTCCTGAGTATTGACTGGTTACACCTGTTCTGACATAGTTAGTTTAGTATAAAGCCCGGGCTTTTAGTCTAGTTCATTGCGAGGTATTGCTTCTTTTTCCAAGAGCTACTGAGCGTTATATTCTTCTGTCTATTGTGATTTTCCGGTTTTTGACTTTTGCCCTTTTGCCTTTGCCCTTTGGACTTTGTTCGCCTGATGTTTGTCTTTTTGTGTTGCTTGCCTTTGCTGGATTTGACCTTTGCCTGTTTTTGGACCACGATTTTGGATTACGACTCTAACATTAAAGCCTCGCCCTCTTTTTTAACAGCGAGCGTCTGAGTTATTCTGTCTCGTTACACTTTGGGTCTATTTCTGCGGCATGCTAGCAGTTTCTATACAGAAACAGTAAAGAAATGCAATGTCTGGGCTATAATATACAATCTAGGCTAATAAACACATTAACAAATCTAGTTTTAACTGATTGAAATCCCTTGAGTAGGTTAATGTTGTGAACACAGGCGTCTCCTCCTCAAGTACAGCTATACCACCTGATGAGAAAGCCAGCAACAGTCAAAGCAGCTATCAATTTTTATTGTTGATCTCTTTATGTCATCTACATAAAGTTTATATGAGACAAACGGACAACTTAGACGTTTATACTGCGTGAAAACGCAACACAAACAGCAACTGCTCTTGCTTTGCGACACGTGTGTGTTGCGTCGCGGAGCGGTTCTGGATTAGCATGGCTGCATTTTCGGCTACTCACAATTCAAGTAATGCTTATTACAAACTCTGAGTCAGCCCATGAGTCCATTAACCTCACTCCACATTTCAGATGTCCATTTTTCACATTCTGGAGTGAAACGTTTTTTTTTCCTCTGTTTTCTTTTCTCAGTGAGGTTCTTCTTGAACAGCTACACATCCTTTCAGACCCACAGCGCTGAGTCGTCTTCTCACAGTGGAAGGATGGACAGAAACTCCTGTGGATGTTTTCAGATCTGAAGCAGCTTGATTTTCTCCTCTCTCTCAGAGATGAAAGCTTTAAGTGCTGTTTATCTGATGGGGGCAGTTTTGGTGTCTACCAGGTCTTCCAGGTGGTTGTTAGGAGCCACATTTTCTCATTTGCTTTCAATCATTTTTCAAACTTCAGTTTTGGAAGCTAATCTTCCTGATCAATGATTAACCTAATAACCTAATGGTTAAAAGATTGAAGAGTGGTCTTTGTCTATTTCATAGTACTGTACATTACAATATCTGATCTGCAATGACAAGACTAAGGGAATAATTACACCAAGTAAATGGAAGCTAAGTGCCACCAATTAGCATGGAAGATAAGAGTAAACTGGTATTCTGTTTGTGGATTAAAACTGCACTAATCACACTGATAAAAGATGCCGTGGCAGACATGGAGGAAGCAGGTGGAGCACAGAGGAAAGCCCGCCTTTGAGGTCAGTTATCAGAGAAAAGCTCATACCTTTTCACCCTTAACGCCCAAGCCTGGAGGACCACGTAGACCCTTTGGACCTTCATAGCCTCTGTCTCCCTGCAACCAAAGGACAACAGAGTCATTTACAGTAATTTACAGTCAGGACATACATTTAAAAGACATCAGTGTGTTGCTGGTGGCAGCTAAGAGGGGACAACGGAGTTCCTGAGCACCTACCTTAGGACCTGGTAAGCCCTCACCCGGCAAACCTTGGTTTCCTTGCACTCCTGGTGGTCCTGGTGGACCCTTACCAATAAAGGAAATGATTATTAGTATTAATAACAATAAAATGGACAGTCAAGAGATTTATCAGAGCTTTAACTAACCAGGGTATATTTTGGTTTGTCCATCTGAATTTACATGACCAAAATCGTAAGGCAAATTATTCAGTAACTGCATGAAATAAATGTACATTTTTCATTTTATTTATTTATTTATTTTTTTTGTAAAAGTTCTCCTCAAATTAACAGAACATGTGTTTTATGATCACACATATTGCTATATGCTTACAATTTACTGCTGAAAGCCAAAAATCTTAGATGCTCTTTGTATTATTTTATAAAAATATTTTTTACAGAGCAGATCACTGAAGAGACGCCATCTGTTTATAGTTTATAGCCCAGATTTGTGGACAAATGGGTCAAGTGAGTTCAGCTTCTTTTATTATAAGGGTTTAAAATTACATCACCCATCTATTTGACTGGAAAGAAGTTACAGCTCTCATATGACCCCCAGCTTTTGAATGTAGCTTATGAAATATGAAAGTTATGAAGAATATGACGAAGTGTGTTTTGAAAACACTGGTGGTTCCATGGAGTTGAAAAGATTAAACCCCTTAAACTTCATTTTAAATGCTTAAACACTTTTTTATTTAGTTATTAATCACAAAACTTATTTAGTAACCACTATTAATTATTTGGTAGCTACAGTGGAATTCATATTATTGCTAATGCAGCATTTCTATTGGTGAATTTTGTATACAAATTAAAGGCCAAAAATCAAAATTATTTAAAAAATAAATAAATATATAAATAAAAAACCCCAACAAAAACAGAGATACCAGTTCGGACACAGATAATATGTAGGTAGTGAAGAACTGAAGTGTGGAGTTTTTCAGGTTTATCTTTAAGGATATAAAGGCTTTAATGATCAGTGAAGTTATGTCTCCCTCTACTGGACAGACCTCACACTCTGGTCATGATGAAAAGAACCATCTCTGTAACTTACGGGTACTCCTGGTTCTCCTATACCAACAGGGCCGACTGAACCGGGTCTGCCTTGAATACCTTTGTCTCCCTAGAAAACACAGAGAATGAGTAACAAAAGGAGAGACAAAACATTAAAGACTCATAATGAATAAGCTACTACTACAAACCCAGCTCTGTAATGCAACACCGCGTGAAACGCAGATAAAATGCAAATAAAAACAGAAAGCAGTGATTTATACATCTACTTTGACCTGTTTTTGAACGAAAACAGTACAATAACAAGATATGCAACGTTTTATCTTATCAACTACACCGATCAGGAGTGGACAGTGAGTGGACACAGTGTTTAAAAACTCCAGCAGCACTGCTGTGTCTGATCCACTCAGACCAGTGCAACACACACTAACACACCACCACCACGTCAGTGTTACTGCAGTGCTGAGAATGATCCACCACCCAAATAGTACCTGCTCTGTGAGGGTCCATGGGGGTCCTGACCACTGAAGAACAGGGTAAAAGGGGGCTAACAAAGTATGCAGAGAAACAGATGGACTACAGTCTGTAACTGTAGAACTACAAAGTGCACCTATATAGTAAGTGGAGCTGATAAAATGGACAATGAGCGTAGAAACAAGGAGGTGGTCATCATGTTATGCCTGATAGGTGTATACGCTCATTCTGAAATTATTAAGCATGTTTCGCCATGTGCGGTCAGGAATACTTTGACAAACCGCTGTCAATAAACACTGTCCAGTTGGGGGCTGGAGGTTAGGGAACCAGCCTTGTGACTGGAAGGTGGCCAGTTTGATCCCCTGAGCTGACAGTACGTGACTGAAGCGCCTTTGATCAAGGCACCTAACCCCCAACTGCTCCCTGGGCGATGCGGATAGGGCTGCCCACCGCTCTGGGCAAGTGTGCTCGCTGCCCCCTAGTGTGTGTGTTCACTAGTGTGTATGTGGTGTTTCACTGCACGGATGGGTCAAAATGTGCAGGTGAAATTTTCCCTTTGTGGGATTAATAAGGGTCACTTAATATGCACAGTGGAATTCGTAAAAGTTTGTGTCACAGTTTGTGTCTTCAGTCCTCAAACGATTATTCTGTGCTATTAAATGGAAACATGATGTAACACAGTGGTAAACATGCTCCCATCCCAATTTTTTTGGAACACCAAATTTAAAAAGAGTGTATATTTACAAAAAGGTCAAAACAGAATTTATTAATCACTACTTTCTGTTGTTATTTGCATTTTTCATTCTGTCCCAACTATTTTAGAATCAGGTTTGTACAATCACAGCATTTCTTATTTAATAAAAGTGCCAGGATAAACATTTAGAGTCGTTTGGTCACCTTTGGGCCGGGAAATCCAACTCCAGCATTCCCTGGAGGACCAGAAGCTCCAGCGGGTCCACGGTCGCCCTGGAAAAAAATGAATAAGCCAAACATCCTTCATGTGTCCAACAAACACACATCCTCAGAGTCAAGGTGCCGTAGCTGAAGCCCTTACCTTAAGTCCAGGTGGACCCTCTGGACCAGCGTCTCCAGGGTAACCAATAGGACCCTTAAACATATAACAGATAAAAGATATGAAACATTGTGAATGGGCATCAGATACACTGAGCCACAGCACTGTGAATCATAATACGCTTCTTAATAGCAGTAATATTAGGAGCCGATACAGGGAGGCAGTTTCCTTAAGATCAATGTCCATTTACTGTCATTTGAAACCACATTTGCACTGTTAATTATTACCAGTTTTAACAGTGAAATGCTTCATATTTTCTGTAACAACAGCAAATCACTTTGAGGTTGATGCAGAGCTGTACCGCACAGCATTATGGGATACGACAGTTAAAAAGATCTAAAATTTGAATGAAAACATGTTTTTATTCTGATGATTCAGGTTTTGACTTTTCAAGTTTTATGCAGTTTTTGAAGTTTTATTCTCTCTTTTTTTGGATGGTTTTAGTGCTGAAATGCTGAGGTCGGTTATTGTTTATTGGTATTGACAGATACAAGTTTTTGTTCATGCTTGTGCAAAATATAAGCAAAGTTAATTATGGGTTAAGTGTGTATTTGCATGTAGGACATGCATATTTGAGATATTCTGGCCACATACAGGGCAAACGTTGAATATTTATGATTACTGACTGTTTTAAGTTTAAACAAATGCACTGGTGAAATTACGTCTTTTTCACATGTGAATTTACAGTAAATTACTTTCACAATTGTTGCATAAAAATACAAAAGTTTACTGTATTTTAATTACTGTATATAAATTATATCTGTAAAGTGTCTAAATTGCTAAAATTTGTTTTATTTGCTGATGATACTAATTTATATTGCTCTGGGAAAACTTTGGAACAGCTACCGAATACAGTGGAAAGGGAACTGAAAGTTTTAAAGAAACGGTCTGATATTAACAAGTAATCCTTGAATTTAAGCAAAACAAAGTTTATAACATTTGAAAATCGACAAACTAAGAATAGAGTTAAAATTATGATCGATGATGTTGAAATAGAAAGAGTGAATGAAAGTAAATTTCTGGGTGTTATAACTGATCATAAACTATGTTGGAAACCGCATAAATAATGTAAAAACAAAATTGTCTAAAACCTTTGAAATATTATATAAAACTAAAGATATCCTGAATCAAAATTCATTCTATATGCTGTACTGTTCCTTCATAGTTCCATACATGAACTACTGTGTGGAGGTATTGGGAAACACATACAAAACCAACACCAAACCTAAGCTAAGAATTATAAGTCGATCAGACTTTTATGAACCAACCAATAAACTGTTTATTAAATTACATGCTTTAAAATTCAGTGACCTAGTCGACTTTCAGACTGCAGAGATGATGTACAAAGCACAAAACAATTTACTACCAAACTGTATTCAGAAGCTGTTTGCAATTAAAGAGAGCAAATATGGGGAACATGTATGTTTAAAAAGCCAATAGCAAGGACGAATATAATAAATAGTTAAAAATAAATGAGTAAATAAATAAATAATTGTGATAAGGAAGCTGTTTTGTATTCAGAAGCTGTTTTGTAAAAAATAGTAATAAATAAATAAATAAATAGATAATAATTGTGATGAGGAACTAAGAATGTGTACAAAAATGTTTAAAATTAAGGTGTTAAGCACTTCTAAAACTGAGGAATGTTCATTATTACGTCTGAAATGTTCTGAAATGTTGACTGATTTTCTTTGTTTTTATATTCCTCTGTATTGTTTAAATGCAGGACTGTATATGAATTATTAAGGCTAGCCAAAATATAAAAGCTATAGCTTCAGACTAGACCTTTTTGGTCAGTACTTGTTTTTGTATTGATTATTATGCCCATTGATTTTATACCTATAATTTTAATTTTTATTTTTGTGTTACCTATTATTTTTATTTTATTTTATTTTATGGGTTTAAACACCTTTATAACCTGAAATAAACTTGCCAATTACAACATTTATTGTTATCAAATCATTTGTTGAAGGAAATTATGAAGTACATTCAGTGAGCAGAGCACTGTATGCGTGGACACAGTCAGCGAGACCGCCTCATCCGAGAGGAGCGGTGTTTGTGTGGGAACTGGAAGCCGGATCAGGCCTATCTAAATCCAGATCGTGTCTGAAACAAGCCGTACCTTAGTCATGCTAATGCCAGAGGGGCACATATCGAAGGAGCACGGACCTCTGTGCTCATGTTAATCCTGCTGGACAAAGTGTGCCCCCAGAGAAGAACAATACAGTTTAGGCTGGTATCCACAGCTTTAGCCACGCTACATTACCGTCAGGATCACACCTAATCCCGGGTTCACATTCCATAAGTGCAGAGACAGGAGAGCTGCTCAGGCTCCGGGATCGTTTCCACACGTGCACGACTCTCTCCTCGTCATTGCGAGGGCGATTTACATACATTCACAAACATCATAAGCAGCTCCAGTCAAGGATGCACAGACATTTTCTAATAATAATCATATCTTATCCCATAACATGTGTCTGCCTTCTACGCTGTAGACTGGGGTTCAACCCCACCCTTGGGAAAGCACCCTACACCACTGTTTCTCAACCCTGGTCCCACTGTCCTGCACATTTTAGTGCGTTTCCTGCTTTAACAGCCACTTCAACTCAACAAAGGGCTGGTAATAAGCTGATTAGTTGGATCAGGTGTGTTGGGAGCAGGGAAAACAGTAAAACCTGCAGGACAGTGGGCCTCCAGGACCAGGGTTGAGAAATACTGCACTACACCAATAAGAGTCCTTGGGCAAGACTCCTAACTCAACCTTCACCTACCTGTGTAAAATGATCAAATTATAAGTCGCTCTGGGTAAGAGCGTCTGCCAAATGACATAAATGTTAATGTTAAATGGTCTGGTGCTGGTTTAGTTGCTCACCCAGCATGGTTGAACAGTAAACCAGCATCCAAAACACAACATGTCGCTGTTGTCAGAAGAAAACCTCGTATCTCCAAAATGGTAACTTTACAGGAGAAGGAAAAAACATACTTTACTTTTAATGTAAGTCAATGGAACCAGACTTTTTTCCAAGTCATTTTGGGCCGTTTCTTTTGGTCCATTCATCATGAAACGTACAAACAATGTAAAGGACAACAGGTATTTTCAAATTATGTCAAAAACTGAAAAAACGACAAAAGTGAAGATACGAGGTTTTCTTCCGACAACAGCGATATGCTGGTTACGCTGGTGACCAGCTACGCTGCTGTATGCTTGTTTTTCTAGCAGGGAGAGCTAATAGACTCTGTCAGGTAAATCCTAAGAGCTTAAAGCACTAACATTTGACCAAATTTAGGGATTAAAGGTTATTTCAAACCTCATGTCATCGCAAAATTTGACCAGGCCTAAAAACCAGTAAAAAAAAAAAAAAAGTATACTTTACAATCAGTGTGCAAAATACCCCCAGGTATTCAGGGGGTCCCATGTTGGCTGGCTACTGCAGCACTGGATGGCTCCTAACTCACTCATCATAGCAGCGCCGATGCTAGCCCTTTATCAGTTCTTCTCCTAGAAAGTCTCTATTTTAGTTTGGTGATGTGCTTTTTCCACACATTCATTGAGATCTTACACATCCTCGGTTTGAAATGAGTTCACTTTATCCACCAAACTCTTGAGAAACTGGGCAGGTTTGCAAATGTATAAATATGCTATGGAATAAAACAGTCTATAACCTGTTTGTGAGTGAAGCAGCTAAATAATGACTTTTCCCAGAATTTGTATTTGAGCGTCTATGTTTCCCTAACGGACAGCAGAACGTCATAATAAATCATTTCACCCCAGAATTTTGAATTTTTGAGAAATTTAGAAGGGTTAAGAGGCTAATTAGGGGTCCCAGACGCCCAGGACATCCTGTATTTTACACTTTGTTTACAGGGATGCACCAATAGGGGGATTGCATTCTAATGTCTATGCCCAATATTTTTCATGTTGATGTCGATACATGTCATAGGCGTGTCCAGCCCCTTTTAAGGGGTGCTCAAGCACCCCTAAAAATAAGAGTAATTCTCATTTAGCTCTCATCCTAGAATCAGCCCTGATACATGTAGAAATTGGGTTTAAATCCACCTGGATTAGCATTATGTAGATATTACATTCATTTCTGTAGGATTATAGGTGCAGTAAAAACATATTTTAGCACAGTAACCCAGCATCACCTCACCAATCTGTTCTTCTTAAGTTCAGGAAAAACATCAACAAATATCAGTTCAAAATATAGGTCATATCTAAACATCTGTCCAATGCTGTAAATCTTTTGTTATGTGCTGATACTGATAATTCTGATGTCATTATGCATCCCCATTTACATGAACTACCTCACCATTATTGCTGTGGCACTAAAAGTTTGTGCACCCCTGGTCTTAACCCTGATAGCAAGAGAATAGTGGACCACTGTCAGCCCACTGATGGCAAAGCTGGTGGTCCACTGGCGTTTTGCTCAGCATTTTCCAGGCGGCCCACCGGTGGTTAAGCAGAGTAATAGGCAAAATTCCATATATCATCGCTCATTTTCCACCCACAGACCAATTTACTGATTTTTCCTTCCTTCCTTTTTTTTTAAATTAGATCAGTAAATAATTTTAATCCAGCTCAGTGTCAGCAACATTTTCTATAAAATCATTTTATATCAGGCCTAATCGTTATTTTTTTCTCTCAGTTATATATAATATTTGTCTTTTATTTTGTTTATTTTCTAAAATAAAAGTCCGCGTGCATTTAAAATCTGTTTGAAGAGATTAAAAACTAGGTAGAGTTTGTATGCAGGACAGTAATCTGGGTGGCAAACAGTCGGTCAGTGGGGTGCTGACCTTATCAAGCCAGCGGACCTATATATGCTCGCTATCTGGGAACAGATCCCAGCAGTAATGGAACTGTGCAGAATTGTGTAGAACTGTGTAGAATTGATGAGTAACCGCTGTCCCATAGACTGCTGTTGGAGTAGGAGTTGGAGAGCACATTACGTTGCAGTGCATGCTGGGGACTGTAGTGCAGCGCATTATGAAACAGGCTAATATTAATAGAAAATTAAAATACCTTTGCGGGCTGGAGAGGATTGTGTCCTTGTGTTTGACATGGTATCTATACAGTTAAACCTGATTAAGAAGACAAATTTGTTTTGTGGGGTAATAACACAAAAAAACAAGAACAAAGAAAGGTTATTAACCGCGCCACACCAGGAATGCTGTATTAAAGAAGATGCGACCCAACCCCATTACCACCCGGCAGCAATATATCAACACCTGTGACAATCATGAAGGTGATGGCAGATAGCAGGCTGAAAATGTCAAGGTAAACAATGTTGTTAAGAATGTGAATTTAGTAATTTCATAAAATAATGTGGGCCAAATGATCATTTTTGACATGGTGTTGTTTAAATAGTAGTAACTTAAGATATTAACAAATATCTGACGAAGCTGACAGGTATAATTCTGACTGACGGAGAAAACAAAGTAAGATAAGTAACCAGAAAACAGTTTAACAGTATAGATGAATGTGGGCTCACTATTTGGCAAGCACCAGGCCAGTCCATAGCGCTGAGTCGTCTTCTCTCAGTGGAAGGATGGACAGAAACACCTGTGGATGTTTTCAGATCTGAAGCAGCTTGATTTTCTCCTCTCTCTCAAAGATGAAAGCTTTAAGTGCTGTTTATCTGATAATCTGTCTGTTTTTATGTGTTGTAACTGCTCATAAATGATTTATTTCAAATGTATTTACAAACCTTTAATAAATTTAGTGTTATTGTACAGAGGCACCTTGGAGCCTTATGCACTGTAAAAAGTGGCTCATCAGATATACTTAAAAAAAATACTTCATGATGTAACAAGCAATTGAACTAGTTTTATTCAACTCAAAAAATTACTTTGATTGAAAGAATTGTTGATTCAAAGTATTTATTTAGGTTGAGTAAAATTCGTTAATTTTTTTAAGTAGATCTGACGAGCCACTTTTTACAGTGTGGCTTGGGCTGTGGTGCTGCCTCACAGTGGCCAGGCTAGTATTGTATGAGGCCCAGTGCAAAATAAATGAATGACCCCATTCAAAAATGACCTTACATGAATAATGTATACACTGTTCAAAATATGAATTCAGCTCAACTCAAAATGATATAGTAACTAATTACATGGCTTTTCTTGAGTTGACTCAACTTGAGGACACCAGAGTTCAACTCAAACTTCTTAGTTGAGTCAAACGTTCTCTTATTTTTTTAGTTCTGAATCTCAGTGAGGAAAATAAAATGAACTTGTTTTTTTATACTCAGCTTCCCCCACTAGGACTCTCTCCATCACACAGTCCTGCTAGATGTTTTTCCTCTTACACACTTACGGACGGCTATGGCTTCACTGGGGCTCAAACTCACAACCTCATGTTGGGGTGACAGCTTTGTCCACAGCACCACTCAGGAACACATGAAGCAACTCAGATTCTGTGTCTACAAATGTTTAATGAACTGGAGAAAATATTGTTGTTTTAACATTAAACACAGCATCATCTCATGGTGCAACTGTCTAATAATTCATCCCACCATCAGGAGGTTGTGAGTTTGAATCCCATCAATGCCACAGCTGTCCACATCTGGAAGCCCAAGATGAAACCATGCCAGATGGAACTGTGTGATAGAAGGAGCGCCATCTAGCGGAGAAAATGAGTAAAAAACACAAATTCAGTTTTGTTTATTTAACTGAGATGCAGATCTAAAAACAGTAGCTGGGAGAATTTTGGCTCAACTAAGAAGTTTAAGTTGTGTGAACTCAAGTTGGGTCAACTCAGGAAAAGCCATGTAATCATTTACTGTATCATTTTAAGTTGAGCTGACTTCTCATTTTTACAGTGTGGAATAATCGCAGAAAGGATGTTCTTTGGCACGACGCGAAGCAGCGGCCAACATGAAATATATTAAAATACACAATGTTTTAGATAATTATTTAAGCTAGTATTAATATTAACTGACATAAACAAGTATTCCACCAAGAAATGTAGTTCCATTAGAGTACAGTATCATTGCTGAGCAGCCATTGAGAATGAGGAGAAGAACGTTTGGTCGCCAGTCACTGTAAACTGCAGACATTTCATGATTTTTTACTTTTTTCGTATAACAGTGAACATATGATAACTCAGCACTGTTTATTGCAAAAAACCTTCAGTTTATAATCAGAAAATACGTTTTCAGCCCCGTGCGATCAGCATTAGAGTCAAAGATTAATCCGTTAACAGCAGAAAGGTTTTTCGTGCCGTGGTGCAGTGATACAGAGTTCAGCTGCTGTGAGGCGGTCACAGCCGCGGTATATCGTGGATTTTACGAACGTGGCTCAGCCAGTCAGATTTTAGGACCAGAACTATCGGTTTTATAAAACTGCTTGTTTTCTCACTACTGCTGTTAAAACCAGTGCTGGTGCACTAATGTAGGTCAGTGGGTGAAATCACGACCACAAAAGTGTGCAATCAGAAATATAAGTGGTCCAGTAAAGAGATGTTTGGTGGTCACCTGCTCTCCTGAAGCTCCACGAGACCCAGGCGGTCCATGTGCACCCTGCAGGGAGAGAAAAGATAATCAACATCTCGCACCGAAAGCCAGAGCAACCAGCACAAACGCCAGATCCGGAGAGTGATTCACAAAACCTACTTGATCCCCCTTCATCCCCGGGGCGCCACACTCTCCTCTCTCGCCCTACAGCAGGGGCAGAAAACAGAGAGAGAGAGAAAGACACAAACAGAGAGCGCATTAAAAGCCCCGCACGCAAGATTTACGGACACCATTCTGGCATCTGATGTTATCTGCACACTTTGGATCCACACAGCAGCACTGCGGAGGACTTTGGCATGAGAGGCAGCGGCAGTGAAAGTTCTGGAAGCCTGAGATTAACACTAAGCACAGAAGCCTGGGTCAGTTCTCCTAATCACTGCTTTCAAAACCTTTCCAGGCAGAATAACCCAGGAGTTAATCAGCCTATACACCGATCAGGCATAACATTATGACCATTCAGTGGTCAGAACCCCCATGGACCCTCACAGAGCAGGTTCTCAGCACTGCAGTAACACTGACGTGGTGGTGGTGTGTTAGTGTGTGAGTGGATCAGACACAGCAGTGCTGCTGGAGTTTTTAAACACTGTGTCCACTCACTGTCCACTCTATTAGACACTCCTACCTTGTCAGTCCACCTTGTAGATGTAAAGTCAGAGACGATAGCTCATCTGCTGCTGCACAGTTTGTGTTGGTCATCCTCTAGTCCTTCATCAGTGGTCACAGGACGCTGCCCACAGGACGCTGTTGGCTGGATATTTGTGGTTGGTGGACTATTCTCAGTCCAGCAGTGACACTGAGGTGTTTAGAAACTCCAGCAGCACTGCTGTGTCTGATCCACTCAGACCAGCGCAACACACACTAACATATGTTTGATTTGACCCACATTTCAAACCCATATATGATGGCATATGTATTGTTGGGAAGCTTCTGCAATACTATTTTTTTTACCTGAAATTAGAACAAGCTTATAAATTAGAATCTGCTATTCTGTAAAAGGGTCATTCTACAGAAACGTCCACTTTTCTGTCTCTCCATAGGAGTCACTGGTGTTACCGATCCTCATTGGTGTTACACATAAGAAAGGAAACACCAGAGACATTTTAATGAAAATGCATTTTACAAAATGGCTGCTACAGAGCATCAAACCACATGTTGTCAATCATGGAATATCCACTAAAATATGTAATTTAATCCATTTGTATTCTATTTTTTCACAATTACCTAAGAATAAAGTCGGTCACACCAGTGACTTCAGCTAAAAGCTTCCTCTCCCTCTCTTTCCCTGAGCTGAGCGGCTGCCCATCCTAAGAGGGTCTGACGTGACTGATGCGGCCGGCGCTCTGCACAGTGGTGTTAAACTGTATCCACTAATATTGTTTTGTGTCTGTGCTGTTATCCGGTGTCGACCAGAGGAGGATGGGTTCCCCTATTTGAGTCTGGTTCCTCTCGAGGTTTCTTCCTCCTGTTGAGGGAGTTTGTCCTTGACACTGTCGCCAAGGCCTGCTCACTGGGGGCGTGGACCCGGATTCTCTGTAAAGCTGCTTTGTGACAACATCTGTTGTAAAAGGCGCTATATAAATAAACTTGACTTGACTTTACTCGACTCCTGGGGAACTTTCATTACACATTTTATAATATTTATTTGACATTTGTTTTCTTTATGTCATTTAAATCATATATTTCATCATCATGTACAGATTATTGTAGTTAAAATTGCAGAAAAACATGTTTTGTACCTCAAAATATGGCCTCAGCCTTTACACATGACTGTGGGGACGAGCTCTTCTGTGGTGCTTAGAATTCTAGATAATTGATTTAAAAACCAATATTGCTAAATTGAGGTTCAAGAAGGTGTCATTGTTAAAATAACTTATTGTTTTATTTTAAAATATAAATAAATTGTAACCCTATCTGTGAACGCAAGGGACACAAAAATAGACGTTCCTGCAGAAAGACCCAAAAGCTATTGTAATATGAACATGAAAAATATTGCATACTGGCCCACAATTCCCATATCGGTGTATCACTGATATTATTTTTATATGCCTCTTTATCGTATGTCTGTAGACTGTACTCTATATCAGGCTTACTGTAGTAAATAAACCAATCTGCAATGCAAAAAAGTCATAATTTAATTTCTACCATTGTATTTTAATTTTACATTTAAAGCTGTAGTCCAAACAAAAAAGAAAGACTTTTAAAAGACTAACCTTTTCTCCTCTAGCTCCTGATCTTCCCTGTAACAGAGTGAAAGGCATCATGGTGATTACTCAAAAACCCCAAATGAATATGAAAAGGTGCTTTTATAAAGGCTTCCCAATTTATTACCTCAACACCCTCTATTCCCGGCCGGCCATTCAAACCAGGCGCCCCCTACGATGACAACAAAGATGAGAAAAAATATCAGCAATTCTACAAACGGACAAAAAGCAGAACTATTTTGAATGACTTGATATAAGTGAGTCTAAACTGGACTTACTCTGTATCCTTTCGGGCCAGGAAGTCCAGTAGGGCCTGGATTGCCTGGTTTACCCTTCATTAGAGATTAGAGATTAGTGTGTTTCAATAATATCTGCTAAAAAGTTGTCAGGACATGAGTGATAAGCTAACGTGTTCCAAATACAGCGCGGTGCAAAAGTCAGAAACCTCCCCTCATTTAAATGAGCTTTCCATTTTCAGCATCAGGAACAACACAGAAAATATGTATTTAACAGAAAATCACACAGAAGCCACATCAACTAAATATGATTTCAGTGTTCAGTGAGTCACTCTTCACCTTTATTACAGCTGCCATTCTTTTCAGGAGCCTCACTTTCAGTTCCTCAAAGAATCTGCAGACACACCTCCAAAGTTCAGTCTTAGAAGCTGGTTGATCATTTTCTGAAGTAATCAAACACATTCAGTGGTGTTGAGGTCTGGACTCTGGGGTGGTCAGTCCATCGTTCAGCTTCTTTGTTTGATGTGTCCGTCTCCTTTTCTCAGTGAGGTTCTTCTTGATCAGCTACACATCCTTTCAGACCCACAGCGCTGAGTCGTCTTCTCACAGTGGAAGGATGGACAGAAACACCTGTGGATGTTTTCAGATCTGAAGCAGCTTGATTTTCTCCTCTCTCTCAGAGATGAAAGCTTTAAGTGCTGTTTATCTGATGGGGCAGTTTGGGTGTCTACCAGGTCTTCCAGGTGGTTGTTAGGATCCCCATCTTCTATCTAATCTCCTCATAAATATCTCCTGAAAAATGACTAACTTGTACTTAATTGCTGTTTTGACTGAAAATGAAATCACTTAATTGCGGTCTCTGACTTTTGCACAGTACTGTATGTACAGATATCACAAAGGTATATGGGTGACCTACTGGGAGACTGAATCATTTGAGCAAGGAAGTCACATTAATTCATTTAAGATGTCCTTATTAAGTTACTTTTTCACACGTCTCACAATATTTGTGGAGAATTTTTCAATTTGTAAAATTACACTGTATGTATTGTTACTAAAAGCACTTAAAATATAAAATGTTAAAAGAGGCAGGCAAAATCAGAAGTCTTTGTGGGCCAAAGCTTTGGGCAGCCATGCTTTATGATATCGTGCATTGTGAAGGTACTCCACAAAGAAACTTCAACTGACAGAAAATCAAAATTAATTTTTTCTCAGCAGCCATAAAATGCAATTTTCCCAAAGATTCATAGGTCCTTTTTCTTAATGTTGATGCAATATACTTAAATAGAAACGTGTATGATTTACAAAGCCAGAACCAAACAGGATTTTTGATAGCATTTTTAGATTTTTGCAAGCAAATCAGCATCTATAAGCATGTTTTTAATGTATTTAAATGCTATTTTTATATCGGCAGCTGCACATTTATTTTTGATATGAAGAAAACTGCAGTTTTATCTCGTCAGAGCCGTCTTTGTGGAGAGATGTGAGTATATTTCATAGCAAGAGGTTCTCACCTTTCACCCTTCACTGCTCACTAGCATCTACCTAATCTGATAACAGAATTATGGAACAAATATTTTATTTCATATTTTAATTTCCACCATTTTCCATTTTCCCACGGAATGGCCACACGGGGGTCCGCATAAAAGATTAAATGAGCTGAACAGGGGGTGGGAAAGCGGTTAACTTCAGTTTCGTCGGGCTAAATTCTTGACTTATATGAGCACTGACATCTGCTTTGTCATACCTAATCTTCTGCCCTTGACCTTTGACCCCTCTTTCCCACGGACACTGTGAGCCTTCTTTCTGTCTTCTTTATGTCGCTCAGCACCTGCTACACTTACTTACAGTGTGAGAAACACTGTCCCATCCTCACTGAGCCTCAAGCAGAACCCACCTGCTCCGCTCCGCCCTAAAACCACAGCTTTGCCACACAAAGATCAGACCAAATCAGGCTTTGTTCTCCTGCCAAGTCAAGCTCACACTCAGAGTGAGGATCAGCACATTCTGACCTGCCATTTGTTCGGTTATGAGCCCAGGAACTATCCAAACACTGCAGTGTCATTCTTTCCACCTCACATGTAATACAGATCACTACAGAGCAAGATGGCTTTCTCAAAGCACGACCATAAAGTCTACGAGAAGGTTTTATGGCAACAAGTGAATCTAAATGATGGCACAATATGGACAGTGTGAAGGCAAAGTTCACTCATTTTTCAACATTTCCACATAATTTAACATTAAGATATTCACCGGTCAGGCATAACATTCTGACCACCTCCTTGTTTCTACGCTCATTGTCCATTTTATCAGCTCCACTTACTATATAGGTGCACTTTGTAGTTCTACAGTTACAGACTGTAGTCCATCTGTTTCTCTGCATACTCCAGCAGCACTGCCGTGTCTGATCCACTCAGACCAGCATAACACACACTAACACACCACCACCACGTCAGTGTTACTGCAGTGCTGAGAATGATCCACCACCCAAATAGTACCTGCTCTGTGAGGGTCCATGGGGGTCCTGATCACTGAAGAACAGGGTAAAAGGGGGCTAACAAAGTATGCAGAGAAACAGATGGACTACAGTCTGTAACTGTAGAACTACAAAGTGCACCTATATAGTAAGTGGAGCTGATAAAATGGACAATGAGCGCAGAAACAAGGAGGTGGTCATAATGTTATGCCTGATCGGTGTAAACAAAGTCCACCGCTCCATTCTAGAGGAACCAGACGTCTGAAGAGTTTAACCCCTTACCAGGCCATGGACCACTGGCAAAGTTTTATTACACGCCTCTATAACCTAAAAGCTCCATTAGTTTGCACGGAAGTCCCTGTAGTTAATGAATAATAAGAATTAGTATGTAATAAGGAATGTTAAGGGGTTAATGCCTTCAAACAGCTCCCTTACAGAGAGTTACATATTATTATTATTGTTATTATTATTATTATTATTATTATTACTATTATTAAATGCTTATGCATACACTGATGCCTGAGACTTTGTTTAATGGTGGTTTGGAGATCAGATTTTTGCCTAAAAGGCACTTTTTTAAACACATCCATGGTGGAGAGGTGCATGCAGGCCTACATTACTATTTTGCCACCACCAACATTACATTTAAACTCTCAGAAGGTTCACTGGTGGTTTTGGATAATAAATAAAATGGTTAGATTTGTGTTTTCAGAATCACACCCCTGGTTCTTATCACCACTTGTCTGTAAGTTTCTCTACAATGAACCATTTCACATCAAACCACTGAATGACTCTGCTTACAACTCAATGATTGAATTATGCAGGAAATTTTTAAATCACTTTTAGTAGTATTGAAACAACTTACGTCAATATGACAAAGAACAAACAATCTGTACAGCCAATAAAGGAATGTAAAGAGTAAGTAATCTGATCAGGAAGAGATGAAAAGTCAAGGTGCTGAACGTTTGGCTCACTCACTGGGTTTCCTGGAGGTCCCCTCTCTCCTTTATCACACAGACAGTATTTGGGTTGTGGACACTGCAACAGAGACAAAAGCTGATCGACCAGCTATGGAATTCTTTCATTACCAGACCGAGTGAGACTAGAGACTAACTCAGAGTAAAGGTCACTGATGAGAGCAAAGACTGTCTGAAGATTTTGTTTTGATGAAAGTGGAACGTACTTACCCCTATATCGACAGCTGCTCTCTATCAAAGAGAGAAAAGCAGTGTCACAGACAGTAAACCACAGACGAAGAGGACAAAGAACAAGGGTTTAAGATGTAACTGTTAATGCTTTGGGACTGGTCCATTAGATCTTAAGATCTATTATTCAGTAACTGCTATTCATTATTCAGTATCTACTATGAATTATTCAGTATGTACTATAAATTATTCAGTATCTACTATGAGTTATTCAGTGAATACTATGAATTATTCAATATCTACTATGAATTATTCAGTATGTACTATAAATTATTCAGTATCCACTATGAATTATTCAGTATGTACTATAAATTATTCAGTATCTACTATGAGTTATTCAGTATGTACTATAAATTATTCAGTATCTACTATGAGTTATTCAGTGAATACTATGAATTCTATTAATTATTCAATATCTACTATGAATTATGCAGTAAATACTACGATTTATTCAGTAACTACAATGAATTATTCAGTATCTACTATGAATTATTCAGTATCTACTATTAATTATTTAGTATGTACTATTAATTACTTAGTCTGTACTATGAATTTTTAAGTAACTATTAAGAATTATTTAACATCCACTATGAATTATTCAGTCATTACTATTAATTATTCAGTAACTACTTTGAATCATTATATAACTGCTATAAATTACTTACTAACTATTATGAATTATTCATAATCTATTATAAATTATTCAGTACCTACTCTGAATTAATCACAGTCTTCTATGAATTATTCAGTAACTACTATGAATTGTTCACAATCTTCTATGAATTTTACAGTATATAATAAGAATTATTCAGTATTTACTATGAATTATTTAAGTTAAACTCTGAATTACTGAATAACTGCTAGGAAAACAATGCGCAAATTCTCTAGTTCTGAAACGCAGATCCACATACAGACCCTTAAGGGGTGATTTACATACAGAGAAGAATCCAGTAACATCCTTATATTAGAATAAGCAGACTAAAGAATGAGCTCTGGACACACTCTGCCAATCTAACCGGACCTTTACTATCCACACTCACCAGTTCAGAAAACAGTCTTTCATCCAGGTCAGTGTCCTCAAGGTTGAAGACGTGCTGCTTTGGGGGGGCGCTGGCGAGCGACCGCAGCCTGGCATAGCTCTGGCCTTCCCGCGTCGGAGGCGACAGCCCAATGGCGAAAATCCGGATGTTGTGGTTTTTGGCGTCTGCAGCCGCGGCAACAGCGCTGGGGCTGCGCGGGTGGTCCAGTCCATCTGTCATCAGCAGGGCAAAGCGCAGGCTGCTGCCCGCTGTCTCCCTGACGAACAGCTGGGTGGCGTTGGAGATGGCGTAGGCCAAGTAGGTGCCGTAGCCGATGTAGGACATGGTGGCCACTCGGCTCTGAAAGACGTCCACGTCCTGCCAGTCGCGAAAGTTGTGCTCCACAGAGACGGTGCTGCTGTACTGCAACAGTGCCAGCCGCAGACGCAGCCGCCAGCCGGGCACCTGCAGCTGCACCAGCTGCATGCCGAAACGTGTCACAAAGTCTCGCTGCTTGTCGAACTGAATCGCATTGGCTTTCTCAGAACTGTCCACGAGAAAGGCCACCTCCACTGGGCAGATTAGGGCTGGACAGGAAAGACAAAGAGAAAGAGAGATTAAAGCCTCCCAGGACCTGCTAAAATTTAAGAATGAAAGCCAGACTGTATTACTTCCCATGTAGTGTATGTTGTCCTTGAAAGGGGAATTCCAACGATTTTTCAAATTTTCAGTGTCACTGAGATGTAAACAGAGTCATTCAGAGTGGTTTGGTGTGAAATGCTCTGTTCTTACAGAGTCAGAACTGTTCACAGTGGTGGTGATAGGAACCAGACGTCCACCTCTAAAAGCTCCCTCACAGAAAGTTACTGCATGAAATGGTTATGAATTCACTGCCTGATGACTGAGACACTGTTTTATGATAGTTTTGCAGTAATCTTTAGGACTAAAATGTGTTTTTGCAACACATGGAAGGTGGAGGGGTACATGCAGGGTGTTGTAGGGCAAAATAGTACCCAAAGACCCAAAGTGTTTTTTTCAGATTTAGCACTATTTTACCACAACCAACATTACACATAAAACACAGAAGACACGTGTAGGTTTACTGATGGATTTGGATAGTGAGACTATCACCACCATAATGGCTCCAATGATCACTTAAAAAATCAGTAAAAAGTCAGCAATTTTCTCTCTGAATGACTTTGTTTACAACCCCAATTCCAAAAAAAGTTGGGATGCTGTGTAAAATGTAAACAAATGTAAATAAAAACTCAATACAATGATTTGCAAATCTCACAGAACCATATTTTATTCACAACAGACCATAGAACACGTATCAGATGAGGCATTTTAACATTTTATGAAAAATATTAACTAATTTAGAACTTGATGGCAGCAACGCGTCTCAAAAAAGTTGGGACAGGGGCAACTACAGGCTGGAAAAGTAAGTGGTACTAATTAAAAACAGCTGGAGGAGCAATTTGCAACTAACTCACATGACTGAGTATAAAAAGAGCATTTTAGAGAGGCAGAGTCTCTCAGAAGCAAAGATGGGCAGAGGTTCACCAATTGGCGAAAAACTGCGTCTAAAAATTGTGGAACAATTTCAGAAAAATGTTCCTCAACATAAAATTACAAAGACTGAATGAATATCCTACAATCTACAGTACATAATATCATCAAAAGATTCAGAGAATGTGGAGAAATCGCTGTAAGGAAGGAACAATGCCGAAGGTCAGTATTGGATGCTCGTCATCTTCGGGCCCTTAGGCGGCACTGTATTAAAAACAGGCATGACTCTGTACTGGAAATCACTGCATGGGCTCAGAAACACTTCCAGAAATCACTGTTAGTGAACACAGTTCGCTGTGTGATCCACAAATGCAAGTTAAAGCTGTATCATGCAAAGAAGAAGCCACATGTCAACATGATCCAGAAACGCTGCCAACGTTTCTGGGCCAAAGCTCATTTAAAATGGACTGAGGTGAAAAGGAAAACTGTTCTGTGGTCAGATGAATCAAAATTTGAAATTCTTTTTGGAAACCATGGACGCCGTGTCCAGCAGACTCAAGAGGAGAGGAATCATCCAGCTTGTTATCAGCGCACAGTTCAAAAGCCTGCATCTCTGATGGTCTGGGGTTGCATTAGTGTCTATGGCAGCTCACACATCTGGAAAGGCTCTATCAATGCTGAACAAAATATACAGGTTTTAGAACAACATATGCTGCCATCCAGACGGCGTCTCTTTCAGGGAAGGCCTTGAATATTTTAGCGAGACAATGCTAAACCACATACTGCTTCCATCACAACAGCGTGGCTTTGCAGAAGAAGATTCCGGGTGCTGAACTGACCTGCCTGCAGTCCAGACCTTTCACCAATAGAAAACATTCGGTGCATCATGAAACGAAAAATCCAGCAAGGAAGACCAGAACTGTTGAGCAGCTAGAATCCTACATCAGGCAAGAATGGGGCAACATTCCTCTCCCAAAACTCCAGCAACTGGTCTCCTCACGTCCCAGACGTTTACAGACTGTTGTTGAAAGAAGAGGGGATGCTACACAATGGTAGACGCGGCCCTGTCCCGACTGTTTTGAGACGCGTTGCTGCCATCAGGTTCTAAATGAGTTAATGTTTTTCATGAAATGTTAAAATGTCTCTCTTTCAACATCTGATATGTGTTTTATGTTACAATGTGAATAAAATGTGGGTCTATGAGATTCACAAATCATTGCATTCTGTTTTTATTTACATTTATTTATATTTTATACAGCATCCCAACTTTTTTGGAATTGAGCTTGTACATCACAACCATTTAATTATGCAGAAATTTTGAAACATTAGTGGAATTCCCAAAACCAAGAACCTCCTTCTTTGACAGGAAGGGTCTGTTTGACTGACAGGTAAAATAACCAATCACAGACCACTGTTCTAATGTGACAGGTAGGGGCAGGCGATTTCACAACCACCCTTTCTGCGATGTGGGAGGAGCATCTGATGCTGAGACCACTAACTAATAAACCTTATGTAATAAGCCAGAATTTAAACAGTTAAAAGAAAGGAAAAATGGGAATAGAGAAGCATTAATCAGTGCATCTATTTACTACAGTGGGCATGTTTTGGTGCTTTCTCTGCTCTAACACACTGACTTCAACTCAGGAAGGCCTTGCCTTCTTTATTGATTAGCTGATCCGTTAAGTTTAGTGAATTACAGCAGTGAAAACACGACAGGGGCAGGGGCCGACCCTGCTTATTGACCGGTGCCCCAGGACATAACATTTCACATTTTGGCCACTAAAAAAATGCCGAGCCTGAGGGTCGAGGGCCAAGCCGGTCCACCTGCCTCCACTGATGCTGTTCCACTGGCTACAGTTTGCTAATATCACTGTATAAAATTAGGCTATCGCTGCAGTAGCTAAGCAGACCTTAATAAAATAACCTATACTGAATGACGTTACGGCAGACCAGCTCAGCAGGGGGACCACCACAGTTACACTCATTCAAAACGACACCTGACTCGTTTTTGGTGCTGAAGCATGCTTGTTTATTGTAAATACAATATGTGTGAATCTGAATTAGTTCAAAGTCAATACAGAGTTGAAAACACATTCTGTGTTTTCAGATGTAAATTTAGGACCCTGTAGATGATGATTTTCTGTATATTTAGCTTACTGCTATCTCCATTAATGTCTTGGGTTTAAACAGATGATGACATAATCCTTGTAAATATTTAAGGTCTGTATACTTTCTGAATTGGTTTTAAATAGTTTTGGTTGCTGTGGGACTCCAGATTGAACTAATTCAGTTAAATGGTCCAGAAACAGCAGCATGTTTCTATTATTCCGACTACAAACTCTTAATTTTGGTCAGTTTATAGAATAGAATTCCGAACCTTTTAGCCGACTGTGTTTTGCCCACAGAGGACTAAGAGCTCCGCATTTAACCCATCCGTGCAGTGAAACACCCACATACATGCACACTAATGAACACAAACACTAGGGGGCAGTGAGCACACCTGCCCGGAGTGGCGGGCAGCCCTATCTACGGCATCCGGGGAGCAGTTGGGGGTTAGGTGTTTTGCTCAAGGGCACTATAGTCATGTACCGTCGGCTGAGGGGATCAAACCAGTGACCTTTCAGTCTCAAGGCTGGTTCCCTAGCCTCCAGCCCATGACAGCCCCTATTGGCTTTGTGACCTTAGCGGCCAATGCAAATTTTTATTTCGGTCTACCCCTGGACAGTGGTACACTCGGACCAAGGTTATGAATCACTAATTTACCCAAATTAAACAGTATGGCCTTATCTGAAAGGGGGGGATTGACATACAGGGGCCTCAAAAAGCATTTGGACACTTTGACCATAGGTAAAATTTAAATCTGAATTTAGCTACTGATGTTACTTCATAAAATGATATTTGTTTCAGAAAAAAACACTTTCAGCACAACAACAGCAGTGAAAGCCTAGAGAATAATTCCAGCCAGGCTGCACTAAGGGTCCTGTAAAGCACAGAGACCTTTTTCTTACAGTGGCGTTACACTGACGGGATCACGAACTCAGAGGTGTACACACAGATTTTGGATGCAAAGAAACTGTCCAAACAATAATGACCTGAAACTGGTATGATTTTTTGTTTCTTAACACAATTAAGTTCATACATTTTAAGTATGGCACAAACTTTCAAATGCTTTTTGTGGCCAATATATGGCTGCTGTCGGAACAAAACCTCATATCTCCATTTTTGTCGTTTTTCAGTTTTTGACATATTTTGAAAGTACCTGTTGCTCTTTACATTGTGCGTAAACTTCCTGATGAATGGACCACAAGAAACAGACAGAATTACTTGGACAAAAAGTCTGGTTCCATTGACTTACATTAAAAGTAAAGTATGTTTTTTCCTCCTCCTGTAAAGTTACCATTTTGGAGGTTTTGCTCCGACAGCAGCGACATGCCTTTTAGCATATGGTTTGTTGTAAACAATATCAAACATATACAGAAAACATACCAAAAACACGCCTCTGTATGGTGGATTAAGACAATATTTGAACTTGAAGACTGAGACACTCGTACAACACTCTTACTTTTTCCTTCATTTTGGATGACCAGATTCTCGGCCTTCTGTCTGCCTTTCCGTCTGTTCTGGCCTCTCACTCTCAGTGAGGAAATCAGCAGCAGCAGACACAGCAGCAAGCCACACTGCATCCTGCCCGGTGACACAGAACTGCAACCTAGAGGCAAAGCAAGCCGGTCTTTATTCAGTTTTGCCTCACTTCAGTCTCATTTCATAAAATACTGGTAACACTTCACTGTAGAGCAATAATGATTATTCACACAGACGTTATTTGTCATAAAGGTTGCCTTTGCGAGCTTCAAGTCAAGTTGACACAACATCTAAGTCAGATGATATTAGGTTGTGTCATGACACACTCTGGGGTTATAACATGACACAGCTTGTGAAGTCGGCTAGTTTAACAAAACTGAGCATTGTCTGTGGCACTTAGGTTTCATTTGACCATTTATAAGACTTAAGCCTTGTCACACTATCAGCATCATGTCACTGTTATGTACTGGAGTTTTGAAACACTGTGTCCACTCACTGTCCACTCTATTAGACACTCCTACCTTGTCAGTCCACCTTGTAGATGTAAAGTCAGAGACGATAGCTCATCTGCTGCTGCACAGTTTGTGTTGGTCATCCTCTAGTCCTTCATCAGTGGTCACAGGACGCTGCCCACAGGACGCTGTTGGCTGGATATTTTTGGTTGGTGGACTATTCTCAGTCCAGCAGTGACACTGAGGTGTTTAAAAACTCCAGCAGCACTGCTGTGTCTGATCCACTCAGACCAGCGCAACACACACTAACACACCACCACCACGTCAGTGTTACTGCAGTGCTGAGAATGATCCACCACCCAAATAGCACCTGCTCTATGGAGGTCCTGACCACTGAAGAACAGGGTAACAAAGTTTGCAGAGAAACAGATGGACTACAGTCTGTAACTGTAGAACTACAAAGTGCTCCTATATGGTCAGTGGAGCTGATAAAATGGACAATGAGTGTAGAAACAAAAAGGTAGTTTTAATGTTAGGGCTGATCAGTGGTGGTGTAGCATTATGAACACTGCCTTTCAGCAAAGTGTTACCCAAAACTCAAACATGCATTCTTTACTGGTCCCCTGAACGTAAGATAAACAAACAGACACAAGGGCAGCACTGTGGCCAAACAAGAACAGGTCAGGAGTTCAGACAGCAGTGCATTATGCAGCCAACACCAGAGGGCGCTTGATCAACGTTTCCTAATACATTCATTGTAAATACATGCACTTCATATCTTAACCACAGTGTTATGCACAAACTGCTCTCCCAGCTTAACATAAACATTGTTAAGATGCTTAATTCTCCATGCATTTTAGGAATTCTGAAAATAATTCAGTTTATTATTGTCTGATTCAATACCATAAAATATGTATCCGTTAATAGAGAATGATGCATAATTACAGATGTCAAAAACAGGCTCCAGTGAGAAATGTGCTTTCTAGCAAGCAACATGTGGGTGAGTATTTCAAAATCTGTGATTAATACAGGGAACCACAGTATTCAGCCCAGCAATGAAGCTAATATTTAGAATTAAGCATTAAACCTGCCACCATTACATGTATGTGACTGCAGTTTCACTAATACATCTGGACTCATGTTTCCAGCTATCTCAGCATGACACCACCTGCCATAACTCCCTTCACAAACACACAGGACAGAGCAGACTGGAGTTCCTGAAAACTTACCTAAAGTCTCAAGGAAAAGTGATTAATCCTGGAAAAGTCGCTCATTTGAGCTCAGCTCAGTGATAATCCTGAGAGTCAGTACACAGAGAGGGAGAGGGAGAGTAACCGAGGTGCCATTCAGGAGAGAGGAGAGGGACAGAAAGGGTTATCAGACAGCGAGGGGAGTCTTCACCTGAGCGCCATGCAACAGCGCTCCTAGTGGCCGAACGGGGGAAATGCCTGCTTTCTGCGCTGACACGGAGGTAATCAGCTCCTGTTTCATCAGAATGGGCTGACCAACTTTTGCCCCTCGGTGGAAAGACATTCTGGCCTTTAATCCGCCGTTTTAATCCACAGAGTTAAATTTGAACAACTAACAATGTTATTAATACTTGTAAAAAAGACACCTGAGATTTAAAAACAGTATTTCTAACAGGTCAATATACCTTTTACTAGGAATTATATTTCATCATGTAAGCTTTCAGTACTCAGCAGTAGAAATTCATTTCGTTCACTTTTCCCAGTTCAATTTAATGGGAGGAACATTTTTTATTTGTATAAATTACATTTTAACATGTGTAATATGTTATGTAGAATGTCCAAATTGAAATATTAAAAAAATAGAAAGTTTTAGTGTCAGCATTTTAGCTTTTACTGTTTGTTTTCCTACTGTAGGTGCATTAGCAGTGAGGCAAATCAGCAAAAGGCATTAGCATTGCAGTAAATCTGCAGTGAGGTAAATGTGTTGTAGACATTAGCATTGCGGTAAATCTGCAGTGAGGTAAATGTGTCAAAGACATTAGCAGTGAGGTAAATCTGTAGTGAGGTAAATGTGTTGTAGACATTAGCAGTGAGGTAAATCTGCAGTGAGGTGAATGTGTCAAAGACATTAGCAGTGAGGTAAATCTGCAGTGAGGTGAATGTGTCAAAGACATTAGCAGTGAGGTAAATCTGCAGTGAGGTAAATGTGTCAAAGACATTAGCAGTGAGGTAAATCTGCAGTGAGGTACATATGTCAAAGACATTTGCAGTGAGGTAAATATGTATAGAAGGCATGAGCAGTGAGGTAAATCTGCAATGAGGTAAATGTGTTTTAGACATTTGCAGTGAGGTAAAAATGCAGAAGGCATTAGCAGTGAGGTAAATCTGCAGTGAGATAAATGTATAGAAGGCATTAGCAGTAAGGTAAAACTGCAGTGAGGTAAATGTGTTGAAGACATTAGCAATGAGGTAAATCTGCAGTGAGGTAAATATGTTGAAGGCATTGGCAGTGAGGTAAATCTGCTTTGAGGTAAATGTGTAGAGGGCATGAGCAGTGAGGTAAATCTACAGTGAGGCACCTTTGCCTCATAATGAAGGCATTATCAGGCAAAGGTGCTTTGAGGTAAATACGTATAGAAGGCCTTAGCAGTGACGTAAATCTGCAGTGAGGTAAATATGTTGAAGGCATTGGCAGTGAGGTAAATCTGCTTTGAGGTAAATTTGTAGGTATATGTGAGGTATATGTGTAGAAGGCATTAGCAGTGAGGTAAATCTGCAGTGAGGCACCTTTGCCTCACAATGAAAGCATTATCAGGCAAAGGTGCAGTGAGGTAAATATGTATAGAAGGCATTAGCAGTGAGGTAAATGTGTCAAAAGCATTAGCAGTGAGGTGAATGTGCAGTGAGGTAAATGTGCAGTGAGGTAAATGTGCAGAGATTATTAGAACTGAGGCAAATGTTGGATTCTAGCCCTGTTCACATCTGTCTGTTTTTGATTGCATGAACACGAACAGACTTTCTGATTAATGTCATTGCCATTGTTTCAATAAGACGTTGGAGCCATTAAGTCCTATTCGTACTCCTCTGTGGGAAAGTGACTCTCAGGAAGGAGGACTGGAGGGGGCATTTGAGTTTATTGTGAGCTAAATTTAAGCAGGAGTGGAGGAGTGCAGAAGGGGAGGTGGGCCATCTGTCAGAGAAGATGAAGAGGTTGGAAATGATGTATAAAGTGCTGATGAAATGTTTGGACATGTAAATACTGCTGAGGTTAAACAAGAATAGATAAATAATAAAGAAAAATGAACGAATAAAGACTAGCGGTGGGGTAAATGACTTGTCTTTTAGATGTGTTTTCTTATCATTCATGTGTGCAGACGTAGCAGTTGTGAAGGGATTTGACAATGTGGTGTCCAAACTAAAGCCAAGCCAAGCCATTACATGTGTAGCTAGACTAAGTAATGCTCTGTTACGATGTGTCACATCTAAACTGTACTTAAAATGTCATCCTCAGAACTAAACCGTAAAACTTCCCTGGCTGGAGGGTGAAGGCTGTGCTTGAGAATTTACTCCCATGATATATGCAACACTTCCTAATCCGGATTAGGACGCTGGATGTTCAGTATGGGCATTGGTGGATTTTCTCATTTCTCACGAATCTTCTCAGTTATTTTACTCTGAGTGTCTCTACATTATGCAGACAACAGAAATGTGTTCTCTATTATCCATAGCAGTGCACTGTGCACATCAGGTCACTGTTCACGTGTATTACATAGCTGTGTTTGTTAAATTCTTATGTCGTAATACTGTAATACCATAAATGCCACAGTGTTGGTTCAGGACTTAAGCCCTGTCTTTGGTAAAGCTCCTGGCTGGACATTGTGCTGTGCGGCCGGGTGTCTACAGATTGGACTGCGTTAAATAAACAGAACCGGGCGGCAGTGCCCATGCCAGCGGTGAGACGGTTTTGCTGGAGGGAATTTCCTGGCCCATCTCAGGAAGCACAGTCATTCTGAACAACAAGCAGATAAAGCAGTTATAGATCATTTTTAAAGGGCTCGTATCGTATCATATCATCAAAATGATGTTTTCTTCACTTTTTTTAAATGAGATGTAGTGTGAAAACATTGAGTTTTAGGCCCAATCCCATTTCTTCTTTTTACCCCTACCTGAGTTACAAAGGGTAGTGGTTAAAATATTGCCCTATGAAATGGGACCCTCAAATAAATTTACCCTGTTCTTCAGTGGTCAGGACCCCCATGGACCCTCACAGAGCAGGTACTATTTGGGTGGTGGATCATTCTCAGCACTGCAGTAACACTGACGTGGTGGTGGTGTGTTTGTGTGTGTTGTGCTGGTCTGAGTGGATCAGACACAGCAGTGCTGCTGGAGTTTTTAAACACCTCAGTGTCGCTGCTGGACTGAGAATAGAATAGAAAATATCCAGCCAGCAGCGTCCTGTGGGCAGCGTCCTGTGACCACTGATGATGGACTAGAGGATGACCAACACAAACTGTGCAGCAGCAGATGAGCTGTCGTCTCCGACTTTACATCTACAAGGTGGACCAACAAGATAGGAGTGTCTAATAGAGTGGACAGTGAGTGGACACAGTGTTTAAAAACTCCAGCAGCACTGCTGTGTCTGATCCACTCGTACCAGCACAACACACACTAACACACCACCTGTTACGTCAGTGTTACTGCAGTGCTGAGAATGATCCACCACCCAAATAGTACCTGCTCTGTGAGGGTCTATGGGGGTCCTGACCACTGAAGAACAGGGTAAAAGGGGGCTAACAAAGTATCAGAGAAACAGATGGACTACAGTCTGTAACTGTAGAACTACAAAGTGCACCTATATAGTAAGTGGAGCTGATAAAATGGACAATGAGCGTAGAAACAAGGAGGTGGTCATAATGTTATGCCTGATTGGTGTAAAATATACTAAACCAACAATAAGATTAAGCAATTCAACTGCATCCAGTATAGAATGTTACATTAATTATTGTATTATTCAATAAAGTATGTGCTTATTTTCTAACCTAAATGCAATTCTCAGACTATTCTTTCAATCCAGGCACATTTGAGCATTTCATTGATTTTTAAAAAATAATACCAAACAAAATATCAAATCGATTTGAATCAAAGTCCTGAGCTAGACTGTACTAAATATAGCAACATGCATGCTAGTTTGCTAAGAAACATCAATATGGAATCCAGTAACCATGAATTCTGCATCACAGTACAATTCTAATTTTTATTCATTGCTACTCCGGATCATTTGAAATACACTGACAACAAACTTTCAGCCCCTCTTGTAATTTGCAATTACTAAAATTCACACAATTAAAAATGAAATCAAATTAAATTTTACATTAAAATGCAATTTGAAAAATCATACAAATGTAATCAGTCCTTGCAATATTGGCAAGGGCTCCAATCACAGCATGGTTTTTGCATTAAATATGTAAATCACTGAAGTGCTTTCACACATTACTCACAGTGAAGCATGAAGGTGGGAGCATCATGAGATGAGGCTGCTTCTCTGCAGACGGTACTGAGGCATTACACGTCATCAAAGGAAACAGGAATAGAGTCACGTACCGGGAGACGCTAGAGGAGTGTTTCATCTCATTGGCTTGACAGTGACCACAAACACATAGCCAAAAAACGAAATACAGGTTTCTAAAAAGGTAAAGTTGCTTTCATGGTCCAGCCAATTTCCTGACTTGAACCTCAATGAAAATTCAAGGTAGATTTTGAAGCTGTGAGTCCAACAGAGGGCCTCTTGTAGCCTTTGGGAATGGGAGATGGTTTGTTAAGAGGAAGGGGCCAAAAGTACTGTAGACATCTCAAAGCTGAAATTGCCAACAACAGTTTGCACACAGTACTAATGTTATTAATATGTTGTATCTGAACACTTTTTCCCCTAACAATTTCATTTTTTTACCTATATTTGTTTATGCCTATGAAAACATACTTGTCTTGTTCATATTTATGAGTATAAAAGACATTAAGTGTGTATGCGCAAAGGAAGTGTGTAAAATAACAAAAAAAAACTAACAATCACAAATTTCTACAGTTTGATTACAACTTCCGTCAAACAAAAATGTAAATATTGTTGGAAATATTGAGAAAAGCTGCTGCAAAATCAAGCATTTTAGTCTGCAAAGATCATAAAAATTGTCTGCGAGGCCTTTAGGGTACAAGTGCACTAAAGTAGCACAAAGATCCATGACCTCATGACCCATGGCAGGTTTGCAGGATCGTTTAAGTGCAGTTTAGGGCTGTTATTATATTCTATTTTGTATATTTTAACTGTCTATGCTAGAAAAACCCTTATTTCCATCAAAGTTGGGATTATTTTTTAA